CCTCCTCCTCCTCCAGCGAGGGGGGCACACCTTCCTCCTTCCTCCCTCCTCCTCGTTTTACCGCCCCCCCCTTCTCCTTCCCTCCCGCTCCTCCTTCCTTCTCCCTTCGCCCTCTATCATCATCTTCCTTCTCATCATCACCCCCCGCGGGACAGAGAGGGAGAGAGAAAGAGACAGACAGACAGACAGACAGACAGCCAGCCAGCCAGCCAGCCAGCCAGTCGGACAGACAGACAGACAGACAGACAGACAGACTGACAGACAGACAGACAAACGGACGGATGGACGCACAGACAGACTGACAGACGGGCAGACAGACAGACAGACAATAGACGGACCGACAGGCAGGTAGGCAGGCAGGCACAGGCAGAGGTCCCCCTCGCTGTACTGGGTGGCGTCGCCTGGGAACCACTCGGGGTGCTCGACGTGGCCGATTTCCTGGAGACGGGGAAGGAGGACGAGGAGGAAGGATGAGAGGACAGAGGATGGAGAAGGCGAAGAAGGAGGACCAATACATCGTGGCGGAGGAGGAAAGCTACTGAGGCGAGGCATTGACATGACGCACACGAAAACGATGGGTGCGAGCACTGGCGAAGTCCGAATCGACACGTATCTCCATCGCGACATCGGGAAGTGATGCGTGTGATTCGTGACGGATCGTCCTGGCGGTCGAAAAGCCCGCCGGCTGACAGGAGAAGGACCAAAACTCCTCGTCGGCACTGGCTTCCTTGGGATCTTGAAACCACTGGAAGGCTCCAAGGAGCTCCAGCAGCCCTCGGGTATTCTGAAGACCCCCTGAGCCTCTGGAGAGACCCCTCCTCCTAAAGGACCAAAACCTCTTGCGACTCGAGAAAGTCGCACTGGAAGCCTTTCTCGACTTTCGGCGGGTAGGGACCGCTCCGGGCCCTAGAGCTGTTAGAAGCCTGCAGATGTGGTGACAGTTGCGCAATTAGCACCCCTCAAGGTAGCGCGAGCTGGAGGTCTGGTATGTGTGGTGGAGGTAGGAGGCAGGGGGCAGAAGGAATGAGCACGCAGGCAGCGAGCTGCTCGAAGCACGAACCCAACGCAGGAGGGTTTGGGAACACTGACAGAGGCACGACCCCGCAGACGCCACGGCCGCGAAAAGGCCCAGGGCAGCCACAACTCTCCGCCCAGCGGCGCCGGTTGCACGTGCAAGAGGGGGGCGGCCCGCAGCGGAAACACATCTGTGGCAAGATCGTGTCGTGACGACCCCGGCGCTGGCTTCTGACACCGCATGGACCGTTCTCAACCTTGAACGATCGGCGGCTTCTCGACCGCGAGATCGCTCTATACCTGTCGATTCTGGGCCACTGCCCTCGCCGGGGTCGCAGCCTCGTCGACACAACACGAGCCTACCGTCCGAGCAGGGGATCGACTGCAGAATCGGTTTACCCCACACTTAGTTTGTCCGTCGAACCTGCGAGAAATGCGTCGAATGTGCCGAACCTTCGACGGGGAAATCCATTTCAGGGGTAGATCCCTTCGGTAGCCGACCCCCTGCTCGAGCCGTGCAGGGGCAGGCTGCGACCTGCCTGCGGTCGGGCGCGGCTGCAGACCTCCGCCGATCCCGCGGCGCCAGCGCCATCCCTGAGCCCTGCCTGCTCGGCCGCGGCTCCCCGGCAACAGACGGCCCCTGGGCCGCAGGTCGGGCATGTCCTCCTGCAAGCGGATCTCTGTGGAATGAAGGCCAGCATTGACAAAGCATGCGCAATGAAGATCGAAAATGATCAGAAGATCGCCCCCCAGACTATTCCCGAACTAGTCTCGGATATTCCTCCTGTAGAGGGACATGCCCGACATAACCCTGGGCAGGTGGGCCGCACCGCGGGCAGCCAGAGCTCACGCGGACCCGCAGCGGGATCAGGCCCTGCGAATCGAGCTGTTGAGGGGGGCGGCTGGCCAACCCGTGGCTGGCCAACCTGTGGAGAGCTTCCTGTCGCCCCCTCGTGCTGGTCATTCTCGAAGCCACGCTCTCCAGGCTGGCTCGAAGTCTTGCCCTGGTGAACTCTCTGCTGGATCGCCGACAGAGGCAGTGTTCTCAGGCAGGCCTGCTCGGCCTGGAAGCTTGTCCAAAGCAAAGCAGCCTCCTCTAGATGGTGCGGCGGCAGCCGCCGGCAGCACATGGTGCGCCGAGGTAGCTGCTCGCGCGCCAGCAGGGAGTGCCACGGTTGCGCGGGCGGGGAGCTATGCACATCCAGGGTTGCGCGTTCTGGACTGCTCGGCCCTGTGGCGACAGGAGGCCCCGCGCGGAACCGCACACGCAGGATCCCCTCCGCATCCAGACCACGAGGACACCTTGCCCGCGGAGGTGCCCGTCGCTCGTGGAGGCCTTGCGGCGGCAGCACGACCACCGCGCCCCCGCAGAGGCGGAGCCGTCCTCGGCTCCGCCGGCCCGTCCAACGGCTTGGCCGGCGGTCGCCCGCGCGGCAGGAGCAGCTGCTGCCCCCACGGCGGCGGGCCCTGGCGCGGGCAGCCCGACGCAGGGTACGTCGCGTCGCGATGCCGCGGTTGCCCCGGGCTCGCAGGGGGTCACGGCGACGTCGCCCTCCCCATGGCAGCGCAAGTCCTCGATCGGCGCACGCACCGACGGGGGCCCCAACGGATGCCATGGCATCGGGCCCATGTCGATGGGCGGCCAGGTTCACGGGTTCCCCAGTTCCAGGTCAGGGCCTGGGCTTCCCGCCACGGGAAGTTCCCCAGGCTCGAACTCTCAGCTGTGTCCTAGCACCTAGGTCCTACGACCACGGTCAGAATGGGAGACATATAGCAGGGAGTACAGCGGGCAGATCAGAGCGTACAGGGCAAATTAAAGCAGAGAGGATAGAAAATAGAGCTTACTCGGATCCAAAAGAAAAATGCCCGCGCTGGGGCGAGAGCGCCATTCTGACCGACGGGAGCGAAGCGCCGATCCGAAAATTAACCCCACGCTGCAGCGGAATCACCATTCTGACACACCGAAAACAACCGGATTGAAAAAACACATGGGGAAATCCAACTCGACCCAATCCGTCTGAAAAAGCAGCACGCAGAGGGGAACCAGAGATCTTCCGGACAGGGTCAGGAGAGAGAGAGAGAGAGGGGAGTACAGTCAACCCGCATAGTAAGGATGGGAACTTTCTCAAAGGTACCATTGTATCCTTGCCCCTTCGGCCCATCTTCAGCGACGTTCACTGACCAATCTCGTCCGAAAAGCGTTAACATCGCCTTTAAGGCCCTTGCAACCTTACCGCGCATCCTTACTATACGGGTTGACTGTAGTACTCAAAGTGTACAATCGTGGAGGAGGCGGGGAGGTGTAGGAGGAGTTCCCGAGCTGCTGACAGTCAGCGCTGATGGCGGCCTAAAACAGCCTCGGCCTGCGGAGAAGCGCAAGCAGGAGGCAAAGAGCGCCGATGCAGGGAACAGCGTGCCCTGCCTCGAGCCGCGCACAGAGCTCCAGGGCTCTGGCCTTCAGGAGGGAGCCCGTGCTGGGCGGAGGCGCGGCGGGAGGAGGAGGGGCAGGCGGAGGATGACCTCGTGCGGCGTCACGCTCGCCTTGTGCTGGGGGCTGGCCTCTCTCCCCTCGAACGGCGCTGCGCTCGCCGTGTGCCGGAAGCTATCCACCCCCCTCCTCCCTGGCGGGAGGGCGGTAAAGCAAGATCTCGTGCGGCGTCACGTTCACCATGTGCTGAAGGTTGTCCTCTCTCCTCTCGAACCGCACGGAGACCCTCAGATCGTTCATCGAGTTCATGATCGTTCCGCGCGTTCCGCCACGCACGATGCGGACGCCGCCAGAGAACAGGTCGCGCGCGGCGACCACGCTCTGCGCCAGCTCGAAGCCGCCAGCCAGCTTGCGCATGGCTGGCGGCGCGCTGACGGGGACGGAGCGGGGGCGAGGGAGGTGGCCTTCAGAGAAGGCGGCGGGGCTCTTCAGAGGGGCTCGGTCGGAGGCTGCCAACCTCCAAGAGGGCCTCTGGGAAGCCAGAAGAGGTGTTCTGAGAAGCCCCCCTGCCTTCCTGGGGAGGCCACCCTCGGAGCAGGGCGGGCTGAGACAGGGGCAGCCAGGAGAATCGGTTTCCAGACCCCTCCCGGAGGGCAAACGCTCCAGCTGTCCGATCTGCGTCCAGCCGTGGCGACGCAAGGGCCCCTCGAAGGCCAACTGGCGTTGCCTCGACTGGCCCTCCCTAGAACGAGAAGAGAAGGCATGGACATGAACAGTCGGCGGTCCGCGCGGACTTCTCGGGTATGCCCTGGACTCCCCATCCCTGGCGCGCGGAGCGCGCCAGAGGCGGCACTGGAGGCGCCGCCACAGGGGTCCAGCGCAGATCCAAGATATCTGGTCGGACCGTCGAAAGTTCATGCTCACGTCGCTTGCTGGAAGCCAGCAACGACCCACCAATACCAAAAGCCACTCGAAAAAGCGTTGGTTGACCCCTGGGTCCTGGCAGTGCCTCTCACAAGAGGAAGCGATCCGCCAAAGTCGCCCCCGAAACGAAAGGCACGAATTTTGGTGATTGTTGGTGGGCCTTTCAATGGCCCTTTCCAGTTCTTCTTCCTCCACTCCCCTGGTCGGGGGGGAGGCGCCTCTGAAGGAGCACAGGGACGCACATATAAACAGTTACCAGTCCCAGGATTCCTCATATCTTCCCCATATTTCCTGTGTTTTCGTTTCCCCCCCACTTCTCCCACAGTTTCCCAAATCTTCCTGGGAGTCGGCGATTGCTTGTGTCGGCGCGTTTTTTGCACCGCCCGAGCCCCTCCCCCCCCAGGGGAGGCGGCGCTGGGCACGCCGAGGCCCGCGCGCAGCCCCCCAAAGGCTCTGGAGCGGCCTCGCGCGCGGGCGCCGGACCGCGGCGCGGGGCGGGCGGCGGCCGCCGAAGGGCAGCCCTCGCGGGCGGCCCCCTGGGGCCACGGCTGTTGATGGGCCGATCTTCCACCACTACCACCACCAGCACCATGGGTAGGAGAGGGAGGAGGAGGAGGAGGAGGAGGAGGAGGAG